AGGGGGGTTATTTTTTGATGGATTTTAATAGAATTGAAATCAAACACTAATCTAGTGTTATTCAACTAATGATTTTAAATCCAGCTTTAAAATCTGGTATTATTGGATCTTATATTTGTAAATCATATTTAATAGATTTTAAAGTTTGGTGTTATTCAACTAAAAATTTAAAATACACCATTAAAATCAAGTGTTATAAAAAACTAAAAGACTTGTAAAATCTTTGTATATTAAATTATTTGAAATGAAACCTCTTTGGAGTTTCATGAGTAAATCTATACTAGTTTTTTGCAGTCACTTTTGAGTCGGGTGGGTAAAATTATTCTCAGATACTTTGGATACCTGACCCGTTTACAAATTTTAGTCATAAAAAATTTGTTGGATAGGGTTATATTTAACCCAACTGATACACCGGATATTCTTATTTAATAATTTAGATATTTAGAAGATTTGATAAAGATTTAGAATTATGATTCTCCTATCATCTTTGTTTGATTTGTTTTAAACTGTTTTAAATCATCATATAATACATAAAGTAAAAAAAAAAAAAAATTCTGTATATATTGTTATTCAAAATTTAAAAACAGACATATATTATCCTTCTTACAAAAAATGTGTGTTCAACGTTCCACATCGATTAAAATATTTAGACAATGATTTAAAATTATATCATAAATAAAATCAACATTAATAAAATAAATGGTTTTTTTGGTGGGACGGGTTTGGCGGGACAGGTTTTTGAATAACCAATAATAAAAAAATAAAATATCATTAATCCGCCACTTCAATACGGATTAAATCCTTAATGTTTGCAATACCACCAATATTAGACATATCAAATCAGTCTTTTTTAGAAAAGATTGTATAAAACCAAATATTGTCCCGTGGTATAATGTTACTTAATAACAATTATAAACTATAAAATATAAATGACTTAGAGAATGATACAATTTGCAAATTTTTATATTTAATAAATAATCGTTAAAATTTTAAAGTTATTACTTTTAGAAAACAAATCATGGGATATGTTAAAAAATTACAGGATGGGTTATATTTCAGAACGAGGTTATATGGTGGACGAGTTTGAATCAATATTTATAGAATATTAAAATATCATTAACATGCCGCTTTAATACATATTAAATCTTCAGTTTATTAAAATATAAATGTATTAGAGAATGATACAATTTGTAGACTTTTATATGTAATAGATAATCATTAAATTTTAAAATCACTACTTTTAGAAAACAAATCACGGGACGGGTTAAAAAATTATGGGACAAGTTATATTTCAGAACGGGTTTATATGGTAGATGGGTTTGAATCAATATTTATAAAATTTTAAAATATCATTAACATGCCACTTTAATACGGGTTAAATCCTCAGTTTATTAACAATTGTCCCGTGACCTCGTGGTATACCGTCACTTAATAAAAATTATAAACTACAATTTGCAAAATTTTATATATACTAATTTTATAAAACAATCATCCCGCGGTGTACCGCGGGTCAAAATCTAGTTATTAGAATTAATATCTAAGATATACTACAAAGATTTTAAAATCCACACAAACATATTCTTAAAAACGTTTCCCTTAAAAACAATATCGCAAAGCAAATCTATACTATATAAAAGTCGAGGCTATAAGCTTCTGAAGCCGTCCACATAGGATATAGAACGATACTATATAAAAGTCGAGGCTATAAGCTTCTGAAGCCGTCCACATAGGATATAGAACGACCAATTGTGAATAGACATCTCATTAATTAACATTTTTTACCCATCACTTTAATTAACATTTTTAAATTTTTTTTTATAATAAGATATTTATGAAAAGGAAAAAAAACATATGGAAATAAGAAAATGTAAAATTCAATTATCGTAATATAAAAAAATAATATCATTATTAGTCTCAATATGTTAGCTTCCAAATAAATTAAGAAAATTTTCTAATTCTAAAATAATATAATTAATTGAAATTGGAAAAAAATTCGAATATAAGAAGAATTTTTCCAAAAATTAACAAAAAGGTATTACAAAACAACTAAGAAGAAAATTTTCCAAAAGTCTGAAAATGTTAAAGTTTAAACGAAAAGGAAAAATTAATGACGTAAAAGAAAACTTCTTCTTAACAAATAAATTAAGAAAATTTTCTAATTGTAAAATAATATAATTAATTGAAATTTGGAAAAAAAATTCGAATATAAGAAGAATTTTTCCAAAAATTAACAAAAAGGTATTACAAAACAACTAAGAAAAAAATTTTTCCAGAAGTCTGAGAATGTTAAAGTTTAAACGAAAAGGAAAAATTAATGACGTAAAAGAAAACTTTTTCTTAACAAACAAGAAAAATAATAAAGCCCTAAATTCTAAAACAGTGGTTTATATATAAATAACCATCTATGGACCATTGATCGTTGAAAGTTCAAACGAAGAATTTATTGACTTACTATGACACATACAACTTCTCCACCTTCAACTACCTCTTGACGAGCTTGAAAAAGGCTTTTACTAACAAGGAAGGGAAGGAATTTTTGAAGAAGAAATATGGAGCCTATGAAAAGTTTGGAAGGTAGGACACGCACTGCTTTGACAAAATCATAAGAGGATGGAAAGAGACAACGTATGTGAAAGATTTTTTCACAAGAAGGTGAAGTGAAGAGGGATTAAGGTGTGTATGGTCTGTGAATTTTTGAAGAAGAAATATGGAGCCTATGAAAAGTTTGGAAGGTAGGACACGTACTGGTTAGACAAAATCATAAGAGGATGGAAAGAGACACCGTATGTGAAATATTTTTTCACAAGAAGGTGGAGTGAAGAGGGATTAAGGTGTGTCTGGTCTATGAAGCGTTAAAGCAACGATGACATGAATGTATTGACGATAACACGATGGCAGCAACCACAAAGAAAAACGTAACCGTCACGAATGACTATGCCACAATTACGATTGCTTGCTAAATTTAATAATTCTAATCTTAGTTTTTTCAAAAATTTAGTTGCTTTTTAGAATTTAATAATTAATATGTAATGTCCACCTTTGCTTTTCCTTCCGCATATATATAGCTTTGCTTTTCCTTCCGTATGTTTGATGTCGAATTTCATTTCATTGACTTATAATTAGGCATGGGAAAAAAACCAATAACCGAATAACCAACCGAACCGAACCGAACCGAACCAAATAAAACCGAACCGTATCCAAACCGGAATTTTCAAAATAACCAAATGGTTAGTAAAATCCCCTATCCAACTAACCGAAACCTAACCAAACGGCTAACTGAAATATCTAAAAATTTAGAAAATATCCAAAAATAATACCTAAAACTATAATTATAAACTCAAATATTAATTATTTTTAGAATCAAAACAATCAAATACTTTTAGTAATCAACATATCCAAATGTTGATAGTTATATTTGTCAAACTTAAATACTCTCTTACAAAATTGAACCAAATTTTAATTTTCTTTCTAATTTTTTCCTTTTTATTGTATTTTCTTCGGTTAATTTTGGTTAGTTTCGGTTATATTTGGTTAATTTTGGTTGGATAAAAACCAAACCGAACCTTTTAAATTATCGGTTAGTTATAGATATCTATCTAAACATCTGAACCGAACCGAACAAAAAGGTAACCGAACTGATCCGATCCGAACTGAAATTCCTAAAATATCCAAACAGTTATTATATTACCATATATCTGAACTAACCAAAACCAATCGCAACCGAACCAAAACCTAACGGTTAACCGAATGCCCATGCTTAACTTATATAATACGTAATGTCCTACTTTGTTTTTACTTCATATTTGTAGCTTGGTGCCAATTCCCATTTCATTGACTTCACATGATTGGTGTAAGTTAAGAATAAAGAGTCTTAATGTGTCCGAAAAATTATTGAAACCAAGATTGTCTAATAGAAAAAATAGCATATAATCATTTTAAATGAAAAATATTAATTTAATAATTGATCTCATTACAAAAATGAGAAAATTTATTGAGCTTTAAAAAAGGAAACAAAAAACATTGACATAAATACAAATTAAAAAGGAAAACTATTGTAAATTGGTGGTTTAACACCATGATAATTGATATATTAAAACAATCTATACTATATAAAAGTCGAAGCCATAAGTTCTTTAGGCCGTCGTGGGATTTTAAATGACCAATCGCGATTAGCCACCTCACTGATTAATATTTTTAGCCATTACGTTAATTAACATTTTTAAATGCTAATATTTTCTATACTAAAATATTAATAAAAAGGAAAAGAAAAAATAATATATAGAAAAAGAGAATTGTGAATTTTTGAAACAACAACATATAGAAATAAGACAAATGTAAAGTATAGATTTCAGTACTATCTTTAGTTACATTTTACCAAAATTTATTTAATTAATAAATGCTGATGCAATATTTTCAAAATTAAAAGGTCATATAATAAGATCGATTAATATCTTTAAAGAAATAGAAATATTTTTTTTTGAAATTTTGAGAAGATAGTGATTAAAAATATTTAAAATGTTTTATTTTCTTTATTTTTACTTAAATTTCGTCGAAGAATAATAATCCCAAAATATTTGACTGCCTCTTTTTTCTGACCATATATCTTTCATAAAATTAAGGAAATAATTTTTAAATAGGCTGATAATGATGTGTATATATAGAAAAATAATTAATTTTTTCATATAGATATCGTCGGTTTTTTAAAAAGATCATCAAATTAAGCTCATATCAAGCTACTGCGTTTTAAAACTGTTAGGATAGTTTGTGGCGATATAAACTTATCACCGGCAAGCTTTCTTAAAAGAAAATTAGTCGGTAAGTTTGTAAAAACGTGCATGTGCTGTCGTTTCATGGTAAGAAAAACCACACACAACTTCTAAGTAGAAAATAAAAATAAAAAAGAGACGATATTTATTTTATTAGAGCAGAAAGAGTGCTTGCAAAAAGATAAAAAGAGTGATAGCTCTCCGAAAAAATATGAAAATGGAAATTCATATACATATTGAAAAGAATGTGAGAAAAATATGAGTTGTTAAAAAGAAAGTACAGATAAACTTATGCGCATACTTCTGTATAAATTCTTATCTTTAGACGAACTATACTAAATAATACCGTAAAGATAGACGAAGAGCAATAGTGAATTTGCAAATACCAAAATGAGAAAGTCGTCGAAGTTAGTCCCCATACAATGCCTCTGGTCTTGCAGTTGGGTTTCTCCGCCTAAAGCCAATTCATGAGATTCAATCAAAACATTGTACGTAAAAAAACTCGGTCATCCAAAATATCTAAAGCTAAAGAGAAAGCTATTAAACAAAAAAGATGTTACTTGTCATGCTAATTTTAAAATTCAACGAATTTAAGCTATTATTAACAATAACTAGACATATAAAAACATATATTTCAAAATTTTCAATAAATATTATTAGTCACACAAAAATTTACTAAAAATTCTAAAAATAGATCCACGCGTAGAGTGGGTTCATCACCTAGTATAAACTTTAAAGAATTGACTTTAACACCCCTTAGAGCATCTCCAATGGGGAGTTCTCAGCATGAGACTCTCTCAAATTGTTTAGTATAAATTTTGAGAAAATGTTAGATGAGAACTTTTGTTTTTTTGTTTAATTTTTCATAGTCCAATGGTAGTCTCTCTAATGAGGTTCTTTGAAAAAAAAAATTGTCAAATATTTGTTTAGTGTATTGACAAAACAGAGAATTAAATCAAATACTTGTCAAATACAAAATAGAGATTCATGTGTTAATTTGAGCAAAAACTTTGTCATATTTGAGCAAGAAATACATCAAATACTTGTCATATTTGGATTTTGATTTCAGAACACGATTCATGTTAACTGGTCTCTCATCATCTATCACCACCTTCCTCAATGCCATGGAACAAGCATAGTAATTAACCACCAGTTTACCATCAAACCCAAAGTTCTGCAATTCTCGAAAACCAGCACAATCTCAAGAACAACAGAAAGATTATCAAGCTTAAAGATCAAACAAGCCCATAGCCAATAAGCGGAATGTGTATACATTGGAGGTAATAAAATAGCCATCAACGGAATCAAAATGCAAGGAACAAACTAGACTAAAGCATATGGTCTAAGGTCATCGAAAAACCTGCAATTCATAACCTCATGAGAGCTTACTCTACCTCAAGATTGTAACACTAAAACCACTTGATAGTTTAAGGATTGACTTGCCTCCAATATAAATTGCTAACAAGACCAGCAAGAAGCAAAGGAACAATGCAATAGTCATCTAAATCAAAAACCAAGCAAAACCAGTGATCAAAAACAAGACAAAGCAAACAAAAGCAGTATCATAGAGTGAAGAGAAAGAGCAAGAGCGTACGGGAAGAGGATCCCAGAGGAGAGCAGCATCATTTGGGTGAAGATGATAGTAAGACGATCCAAAAGCAACAGCAGTCACACCGATGTAAAAGCAAGTCCATCCTATTTTCTCACCTCGCAAACTGTTTCAATACACAAAGACTTTAACTAATTTGAATCTGGATTTCACAAAGACGGAGTATATAATTACGAACCTAAAGCTGAAGTAATCTTCTGGGTAAAAGCAGAGGATGAGACCAATAAGGCTGATGATGAGGAAAGGGAATTTGGAGATGACGTTTAAAAATTTTGGAATCCCTGAGAATGGATTTGTAAGATTAAAACCCCAAAATTCGAAAGGGGATTTAAGAAGAAGATGATGATGATGAGAGAAGAGTGATAATTATACCAAGGAAGGAGCGTTGATCGGCAAATCCAAGAGATTCAATAGAAGAAGATAGTCAAAGAATCAATGACTCACTTTTCTGAACATAATTTCGGAGATTAGGTCGCCATTGTTGGGACCTGGGTTGACATAGAAGAAGAAGAGATTTGAGAACTATTATCATATTATGTATATTGGTTTAGTAGGTTTACTTAGTTGGTTTAACTTAACCGATTGTATAGCTGTATAGTTGTATACTATAAATACACTTGAACTGTAATCATTAATCAATAATGAGAAAATCATTTACAAATATCTGTAACATCTTTTCTCTTCTTCTTCATCGTAATATGGTATCAGAGCCATCAAAGCTCAAAACTCCATTGATTTCGACTTGATTTCTTCGTTCCGAGCTCAAATTCTTCTTCTCCGTTGTCTAATCTCTAGATCCAATGGTGACTGTAGCTCGTGCTCAACGAAAATCCACTCGCTCGAAGTCTGGTACAAGTTCTGCTACTCGGAAGCCGTCGCGATCCACCGGCGTTGTTGATTCACCTCCGAATTCTCCTCTAGTTACTAGATCTAATGTTTCTGGAGCTTCGCGAGCTCAAACAACATCGGAATCTCCAGATCCGACTCAATCTCCTTTCTTCATGCATAGTGCCGATCATCCAGGTTTAAATATCATCTCTCATCGCTTAGATGAAACGAACTATGGTGATTGGAGTGTTGCTATGCTTATCTCTCTAGATGCTAAGAACAAAACTGGATTCATAGATGGAACTCTCACTCGTCCTTTAGAAACGGATTTGAATTTTCGTCTGTGGTCTAGATGTAATAACATGGTCAAATCCTGGATGCTTAATTATGTTTCTCCTCAGATTTATCGAAGTATTCTTCGTATGAATGATGCTTCGGATATATGGCGTGATCTTCACAGTCGTTTCAATCTGACTAATCTTCCACGCACATATAATCTTACTCAAGAGATTCAGGATTTGCGTCAAGGTACATTGTCTCTGTCTGAGTACTACACTCGTCTCAAGACATTATGGGATCAATTGGATAGTACAGAGGCATTGGATGAGCCCTGTACATGTGGTAAAGCTACTCCTCTGCAACAGAAGGCAGAGAGAGCTAAGATTGTCAAGTTCTTGGCTGGTTTGAATGAGTCTTATGCGATTGTTCGAAGACAGATCATAGCTAAGAAAGTTCTCCCTAGCTTGGCAGAGGTGTATAACATTTTGGATCAAGACAATAGTCAACAAGGATTCTCTAATGTTGTTGCTCCACCTACTGTTTTCCAAGTGTCTGAGACTGTTATTTCTAATAGCATGGATCCTACTATCTGTTATGTTCAAAGTGGTCCTAATAAGGGAAGACCAATTTGTTCATTCTGTAATTGGGTGGGACATATTGCTGAAAGGTGCTACAAGAAGCATGGTTTTCCTCTAGGTTTCACACCTAAAGGAAAGGTTGGTGATAAATTTCAGAAACCAAAACCTCTGGCTGCTAATGTTGCTTTGACAACTACAAAGTCTACTGATACTCAATCTAGTCTGGAGAACATGGTGAGCAACATGAATAAAGATCAAATTCAGCAATTCATTGCAATGTTCAGTTCTCAACTACAGGCTTCTCCTAGTAACTCTGTAGTTGCTAGTTCTTCTCAGTCAGAAAATCTTGGTATTTCTTTTTCACCTTCTACATATTCTTTTATTGGAATATTGATTGTTGCTCGTCATACTCTTGATTCAAAGACATGGGTGATAGACTCTGGAGCTACACACCATGTTTCTCATGATAGAAGTTTGTTTTCAACTTTGGATACTTCTGTAATGAGTTTAGTGAATTTACCAGCTGGTCCCACTGTGAAGATCAGTGGTGTTGGTACTTTGAGACTTAACAGTCACATTCTTCTCCAAAATGTGTTGTTTATTCCGGAGTTTAGATTAAACCTCATCAGTATCAGTTCTCTTACTGATGATGTTGGTTCTCGAGTGATTTTTGATAAACAGACTTGTGAAATTCGGGATCATATCAAGGCCCGGATGCTTGGTCAAGGTAGAAGAGTTGCGAATCTCTATGTGTTGGATATTGAAGAACCTATCTCAGTGAATGCGGTTGTGGACATTGGTATGTGGCATCGAAGACTTGGTCATGCTTCTTTGCAAAGATTGGATGCCATTTCAGATTCACTGGGAACTACTAGACACAAGAATAAAGGATCAGATTATTGTCATGTTTGTCATTTAGCAAAACAGAGAAAGTTGTCTTTTCCCTCTCAGAATAAAGTTTGTAATGAGATATTTGATATGTTACACATTGACATTTGGGGTCCTTTCTCAGTTGAAACAGTGGATGGTTTTAAATACTTCTTGACAATAGTAGATGATCATTCAAGAGCAACATGGATTTTTCTACTTAGGAATAAGTCTGAGGTGCTTACAGTTTTTCCTGGTTTTATTGAACAAGTGGAGAATCAATACAAAGTAAAGGTTAAGGCTGTAAGATCTGATAATGCACCAGAGTTGAGATTTGCAAGTTTATATCAACAAAAAGGTATTGCTTCATTCCATTCATGTCCAGAAACTCCAGAGCAGAATTCAGTAGTAGAAAGAAAGCATCAACACATTCTGAATGTGTCTAGAGCTCTCATGTTTCAATCTCAGGTACCACTTTCTCTATGGTGTGACTGTGTTCTGACGGCTGTTTTCCTCATCAATAGGACGCCATCACAGTTGCTTTCAAATAAGACTCCATATGTGTGGATGTCGGATTCACACACTCAAGTATTTTATTAAGTAGGAAAGATTATTCTTGAGGGACAAAAAATGAATAGGTAAAAAACTTCTAAATTGCTACGAAAATTGCTATAGTATTTCTTTCTTGAGAAGAAGATCCCTTTACATGGCCATTGGCCTTTATATTTATACTTAGAGAAACGACATTAAAATGAGTAATTAAGTACAATTATTCCTTCTTAAATGTGTCCGTTTTGATTCCTTGACTTTAATGCTCAACGTTTGAATTTGAGTTGACTCTGATCTTCGTGGGTCTCGCCTTTTCGGCCCAAGCGTCCTTGAACCGTCTTACCCGTGTCTTCTACATCGAACTCATGTCACAATGCAGTCACTTCGGACTCTCGAAGTGGTGACAACCACTTCGACCGTTCCTTCGGCTCATGGGTCCGATGGGCTTCATCCTTTATGGGCCATTATCTTGACTACGTGGCAATCTTTGGTTGGTCTCGTACTTCTGGTGCGGGATCCGACACCAACAATTAGCCCCCCAAGTTCTTCGAAGTGCTATTCCAATTCGGAGGACTTTAAATGCTCAAGTGGCCAAAGATTGCGCTCGAGAATCTTTCTGATTTCCCGCCGAAAATCTTATCACTCCTTTAATTTCGGCACTAGCCATTTTTAACCGAGTGACATCTGTCATCATTATGACCGTATATTGATTAATTACTATTAAAACGGGAAAAAACCTTCCCACTTCCCACACAGCTTCCGAGGCGGTTTCATCATTAGCTTGAGGTAACTTCTTTTCACCATTACTCTCTTCTTTTACTTTTGTGCTTTAATCAAAACCTCTCTCTACTTTTCTTCACAAAACCCTTCTTCGCCGGATCTTGAATTTTTCATTTCTCTCCGATGAATCCCGATTCTGAGAGACCTGAATCTCCTTCTTACGATGAGAGGCGCTCTAGTAATGATGAGTGCACTCGTCCTAACGATATTGCCGGTCCTCATTACAAATCCACCTGCACTCTTCAGTCCCTTGAGCGATTAAAGGGGCTCTGTCAAATTCCTCCTGGAATCATAGCGGAGGCGCAAATAGCCGACCCTACGGAATCCCCGGAGAACCACCGTGTCGGCTACTTTTGTGTTTACGAAATTTACTTCAAGGGCTGCGGATTGACCTTCCCCCTTCCCGAAGCCCTAGTTCGATTCTTGGCGGCTCTCGAGATCGCTTTACCTCAATTAACCCCCAATCTCCTCTGAACCATCCTCGGGATTATAACTGTTGCGGCGGAGGCTGGCTACGTCATTGGAGTCCCCGAGCTGAATGAACTCCTAAGCGTAAGGAGTTCATCAAAGAAAACTGGGTACTTCTCGGCGTATCCAAATGCCAATAGAAACGTCATCTCGCACCTCCCGAACAAGGATGAGAACTGGCACCATCCTTGGTTTCTGATTAAGAAAACTCCTACTTCGATTGGGAATCTTTCCGATGTACTCCCATCGAAGTGGTCTGCGAAACCTGGTAGAGACTAGGTCGTATATTCCTTTATTGTTCATTATTATTTTTTACTGACTAAATTCGTTGTTTCATTTCGCAGCTCTCATCGCTTCAACTCTCCCGACTGAAGAATTTGTCAAGTTCTTCAAAACAATCCTTGAAGGGGAAACCCTTTGGAATTCTTTCACCCTTGACCGGTTTGCCGAGGCCAACCGGAAACTCAGGATGAGCCCTCCCAATCTACTTCATCGTCTTCCGCCTCCTCCCTCAACTCAGGGAATGTCGGCTCGGGCCTTCGCTGCCCAGCGTAAGAAACTCTCCAAGCCGATAGCAGAGGCTTGTGATGAAAACAAGGCGTTCCTTGCGGCCGCCATCGACAAAAAAGATTACAGCAGGACCCTGCTGGTTGATGACAACAGCTCCGAGGGAGCCAGATCCGTTGCTGCTTATAGGTTGACGCCTTGTCGCGAACGCCGCGACGAACGTTCTCCTCGGAGAGAGCGGTCTCCTCGTCGCGATTCTCCTCGGAGAGAGCGGTCTCCTCGTCGCGATTCTCCTCGTCCTCCCCGAGACAATTTTAGCAACGAACCACTTAAGAATTTGGTTCGTAAGAAGAGGGACAAGTCGCCCCGTGATGACTCGTCTCCGCGAAGGGAGAAATCGAGGGCCCGGACTGACCGTTCACCTCGATCATCCCCTCCTACTGAACCAATGGGTCCTCCCCGACCTGTTGACATGTCTTCTTCTTCCCAGCCCGTTAGCGAAAAGACTGCTCGGAGTGCATCCCCTAAAAGTGGAGATTCTGAATCTCGACCCTCAAGTCAAAT